TATCAAATAGAATTTGGTGGATCCTATCCATCTACTACACACTAGGAGAAAGGAAGAATATGCATAGAACACAGTGCAAGCAGTTCTTTGGGGATACTACTTGGTATTTAGCAGTCTTGCAACATACGAGTTAATTGGAAACTATAACAATCTGATAGTTTCTTTTCTTAATTTTTTTTTTTTATCTTTTTTTCATTTTTATCAGTACCAGGGATCGAGCTCACGACTGCCTGCTTGCAAGGCAGGCACTTATACCGCTGAGCTAAATCCCCAGCCCCAAAGCCCCAATCTGATAGTTTCTATGCTAATGGCTCAAACTCTTCAGGAATAGAGGTTTAGGTCATACCATAAGACAAGAAACCAGCTAAAATTTTTGCTGATGACAAAAGGAATATAAAGCAGGTAATGGAAAAGAAAGAAGGTAGTTATTAGTAATCACTATATTACCAGTTGCAGACACAAGGACTGTAGCAGTTATGAGTTTTCTTTGATATATTTGTGTAAATATATTAACCATTATTTTCTCTCATTGTCCTAATGTGTTCATCGTTCACATTATTATAGTTCATCATTTAAAGGTAGGCAGACCTATGGCTTAGTACTTAAATTGAAGGTACTCATCAAGAGGATTCCTAGATCACTCCAGGAACTGTACATCCTCATTGGGAGTAGGAGTAGTGAGCTGATTTTGGTTGTATGAGAAAAAAGTCACAGCTTACAGGCATAAGTATGATCATGCTATGGGCTTTATTTGAAAATTTAATCAAAATTAATGTGTATGAAGGTCCAGGTAACAAGAGGACTCAGTGGTTTTATACTGTTAACTGTGCGAAGCTGAAACTACATTTCCCAGAACTCTCTTTTATGGCTTGGCCCCAAGAAAAATTTGCAAGATTTGAAAAGTGGATGTGGAGTAATTATCCAGGGAAGATCTATGCGGGTCCCACACACCTTTACAACTTATATATATTCACTGATCTGACTCATCTCACTGCCAAGGAGCAGTAGCAGGGCCTGCAGCTTCTCCAGTTTTTCTGCATTCAGAGGTAGGCATGTGCAACTCCTCAGGTCAAGGCACCGGTTCCTTCTATCAAGTCTCTTATTCTCCAGTCTATCAGCTGAGGTACTAAAGAATGCACTCTTCTGCATATTATGTCATGTAGGGCACAGTGAAAGAGATTGGTTCCAGTTTTTCTCACAGTTTCTAACTTGCTTAAGCTTCATTTCACTTTGCACCCAGCTTTCCTTCCCATTGCCTGCAATGCTGGCTTACACCTGTCTTCAAACCCACTAACAGACAGTAAGGCAAGTCTTTCTTACATGAATTCCCCTTTATGGTCCTGATTTTGTGATACCATAATCATACCTTCCTGACCTTTATCATCCCACTTTCTCTATAATATTTTAATAAACAAGAAATCCCTGCAATAAATCCTTTATTCTATATCATTTTTGTTTTTTTGGTAATGGGAACTGAACGCAGGACCTTGTACTTGCCAGGCAGGCACTGTGCTGCTGAGCTATATCCCCAGCCATATTCTGTATCACCTTTAGCAATTCTGATTCTCAGAATCAACCCTAATAGATACTCATTTTGGGTTTTTGTTATTGTTCATAATTTTCCTGGATAACTTTACAATTTTATATCCTTTTTCCCATATGATCATAGAATCAGCTTATCTAGTTAAAAATGTTTGATACTATGTACCAGTCATGTTAAAAGTATAGATTAATTTAGTGTGAAACTGATTTTTATTTTTAGCAGGTTGTCTTCCAATTCAAGGGTTTGGTATTCATTTTTTTCTAAACATTCAAGTTCACTTTTGTACTTCTCACATATAAGTTCCCGTTGTATGACTCTTGTGTCTTAAGTTATTCTTAAGCACTTCTGGTTTTATAGCTTTAATACAATTTCTTCCATTAGTTAGAGCTTGCTCTCTATGATCATCAATTTTATGTAAAAGTCAGCTATGTTATAATGTTCAACTGTTTAGTCAAACCCTTCAAGATGTACTGTAAAGGTATTTTTTGGATACAAATTGCATTTATAACCTGGTGACTTCAAGCATAGATTACCCTCATTAAAGTTGGGTGGTTCCATCCAATCAGTTGAAGGCCTCGTCAAAGACTCAGATTTTGGGAAGAAGCAGCAATTGTACCCTGTGCTTTGATACAAAAACTGTATTTGAGTTTTTGGTTTGTAGTTTGCCCTTCAGGGTTCAGACTCAAAAGTGTAACATCAACTCTTACTTTAACTTCCAGCCTTACAGATTTCAGACTTGCCAGGGTCCTCAATTACAAGACGATTCCTTAAATCTCTCTTTCTCTGTGTAATACATAAAACGTATATGAGATATGTTTTATATTATAGGTTATCTGATGAGCCCTAACCAATACTTTCAAGCACAATAAAGAACACTGAAAACAGATGGCATTTTGGTCTTGAGATACTACATAATAATGTGGGAAGTGCCCAGCATTGAACAGACAATTCATTGTGGAAAATAACTTATGTAGGGAGGGGCTGGGGTTTTAGCTCAGCGACACAAGCACCTGCCTGCAAGCAGGCAGTAGTGAGTTCGATTCCCAGCACCAATGAAAAAAGAAAGTAACTTCTGCTTTTGGAAGCTCATTCCTTATGCATAGAATTGGGATAAAATTACTCAACTTATATAGCTATTCCATAAAGGTAAACAACATGCCTAGGATATCTACCATGATTTCTGACTCACACCAAATGTACAGTAACTTATTATGGTGACAGAAGATATACTGTTTAGTTCCTACTTAGTGTTCTGAGTTTTGTTAAGTGATTTTATCAAACTAAGTCTCTTAGATGCTATTACATGCAATATGGCTACACTAATACCACACTAACTCCATCTTCTGGGTAGTTATGTGTACACAGAACTTAAACATTACTTGACGCTAGCTCCTGCCACCTAACTATATAAGCTGTGGGGCAAATTTGTTTAGTTTTCTTTCTTTTTTGTTTTTTTACTCGGTACCAGGGATCAAACTCACGACTGCGCGCTTGCAAGGCACGAGCTTATGCCGCTCAGCTAAATCTCCAGCCGCAATGGAGCCAATTTGTTACCGGGGCCTATTTTCAATTTAGATATCAATAACTGCCTTACGAGTTGTGCGAATTAAAAGTGATAACCAGAACATGCTAAGTATAATTCCAAGCATATAGCAGATGCTCAATAGATTTACCAGATATTATGTCATATTGATTGTCCCACTGAAAGCTTCATCACCTAGTGAAGACAAAAGAGGACACCACCACTACAGAGTTATATCTCTTTTAATGAAGAAGGCACACAAGCAGGAAAACAGAGGAGTTTTGGTTTAAGTAATATAAAATAAAGAGATGTCATGAGAAGATGATAAAAGATCTCTCAGATGTCTCATTTTGCGGACCATTTGGTACCGGATCTCATCATCAGGCAGAGGTTGTGCAACACGATCAAAAGTGTGCTATCTTGCCAGTGCCAATCATCCCAAATAAGTGCAAGACTGAATACTTTGAGAACTGAGCCAAATCGGCCTTTGACAGCAGGTGTTTGTTTAGGTTGAAGTAACAAGCAGGAAAGCGTTAGGAACCATCAACTGCTGCTGAAAAACTGACGGTTTGAAGAGAAATGCATCCAAAATGAACAGGGCGGTTACATAACTAGCTTACCAAACAATTTAGAAGCTCTTCACTTCTTTCACTTCCTAACATCAAAAGCTAAAAACAAAAACCACTTGTCGTTAGGAGAACGCTTCCCGCCCCCCTTTGTCTTCTAAACACCATCCTTTCTCATTGTTCCTTCATTGCATGCTCCCCGTTTTTTCTTTAACCTTGTTTCTTTCTCCACCATGCAGAGACCCCCCTCCTCACTTTGGGGTTCTCCATTCCCTTCTCCACCCCACTAGACTGCATGGCTTCGGGCCTCACCTGCCAGCGAAGCCCTGGCGACCTGCTCCACCAAGGTCCAGGCAGTGACGTAGCGGGGTAGACGGGGCTCGCGAAGTCCGCTGACGTCACTGCCGCAGCGGTCACGAGCAAAACCCAAGAATGAGACTTTAGGGAGGCAAAGGAGGCTGCGCCCCCGCGGCCAGGGCTGAGCACGCCAAGAACGCCAAGTGCTTTGACTTTCTGGGGTCGCCCGACCGAAACGGTGTCTCTTGCGCAGGCCGGAGCAACCTACACTTTCAGCGCGCTCCAACGCCAGAACGCAGCACTGACTACGAAGCCCCGAACCGCGGGGCTGCCCGCGCACGCGCGATTGGCTGCGGGGAGACGGAGGCGGGAGCTGCGGGGCGCGTCAGGGGAAGGGGGAAAGGATGCGCGCGACGGGAACGGACCTGGCCGAAGCGCAGGGTGCGGCGCAGGACGAAAGGGGCAGCGCCTCGCCTCCAGTCCTGCTCCCCGCTCCCTGGGCGCTGCGGCGGCGCGGGGCGCGGGCCTGCGGCGCGGCGTCGTGACGTCACAGTGGCGGCGGCGGTGGTTGGCGCAGGGTCCGCGGCTGCAAAGTGTGAATTACGCCGGGCTCGCGCCGGCGGCGGAGTGAAGTCAGGCTCCGGGGGAGGCGAGGGGAGGGGCAGGGCTCCGGCGGCGGTGGCGGCGTGGCCCGAGCTGCTTGCTGGTCCCAAGCCGCGCGCGTCCTGCTGCTGGCTCCAGCCGTCCTTTCCTGCACCGCTGTGCTCCGCTCGTGCTGGGCTGACTCCGACCCTCTCCTTTCGGCCGAGGAGCCCTGCGGCGGCGCGATCTGCACTCCCGACTGTGCCTGTGCTGCCTGGGCTGGCGCACCGTCCCCACCAGCCCTGAGCAGGACGCGCGCGGGTCCCGGTGACTGGCGCTGCGGCGGCCCGAGAGGAGGAGGCGTGAGCGCGACTCGGCGGCCCGGGGTCAGCGCGCGCCCGCCCTGCCCGGTTCTTGGCCCGGCGCCCCCGAGCCGCTGCCCCCTCCCAGCGCAGGGGCCGGCGGCCGCGGCAGGGCGGGCGCCGCGCGGAGGCAGGGCGGGCTTATTCAATGGAAGTATGTTACCAGCTGCCGGTGCTGCCCCTGGACAGGCCGGTACCCCAGCACGTCCTCAGCCGCCGAGGAGCCATCAGCTTCAGCTCCAGCTCCGCGCTTTTCGGCTGTCCCAACCCGCGGCAGCTCTCACAGGTAATCGCCTCTGCCGAAGCGCTGGGGCCCACACCGGGGGGCTCCTCGCTTTTGTTTCCAGTGCCCACCGGCTTCATCTCCCTACACCCCAGCTCTTGCCGCCTAACCTGACCCCAGCTTATCTATTGTTGGGGGATTCCTAGACTGGGGCTTCGAATTGAGAGCCTTTCTTTTTCATTGCTGCTGCTGTCCACCTTCAGTTCGACGGCCTTCTCAGACCTGTACCCCTGGGGACCTCGCAACCCCTCCCAGGCCATCATTGTGCCCAGCAGTTTAAGCCTCAGCATAATTTTGCCCTTTAAGGTTTTCTCGATGTCTCCTTTCGAAAGTTGGGCCCCTTCTTTAGCAGCAGCCCTGGAGCACACCTGTTCACCTCTGTTCCCCTCACCCCGCACACCTGTGCCAAGCTCACGCCCCTCCAGCTCTCGCGCGCACTCGGCGGTGCTCTTGTGCTGCGGTTCTCAATGAACAATAGGCCCAGATACCCTGTTGCCCTTTCTCCCCTATTCCTGCGTTTCTACAGATGGGCCTAAAGTGGTGTCAGAGGTACAAGTCTGCGAAGTTGATAGCTACAAATCGGCTTTGTTTTTAATTTGATGCGATTTTTGGAGAGGAAACCACTGAGGTGTACTCACAGGAATACATTTTGAATGGCTCAATACCAATTGCTCCTGAGAACTTAAATTTTTCCTATGGTGATACCTGTGTCCCAGCTTATTACTGGCTGGTTTTAATGGCAAGATTTAGAATGGAAGACAAAAATAATTTTGCTTTGTTTATGAACTGAGTGCCCTCACCGCTTTCTCTCAGAAATTATGTGGTCCTGGTCACTTGTTAATCAAATTGCTTATTTGATGAAATTTCTCTCTCCAGTTATGTTGTAGGTATCTTGAGCAAGGTCAGTATTTTTTTTTTCAAGTAGTGTGCACAACACCTTTTAGAGATTTTCTTTTATAATTGTCTAGTAAATATCACTTGTCATCCACCTGAGTTCCTTGTAGAAAGAGCAAGAGCCATACTAGTTGTTTTCTAAATTCTTTTTATTTGAAATCAGACTTCTTTCAGAGCACAAGATAGGATGCTTACAAAATCAGTGTAGGCTTGTAAAAATTACTAAAATGTTAAGTGGCATTTCAAGTAATATTACACTGTTACCTACTATGAAGGTTGGTTCTGCGATCTGCATTTTTAGTACTGCTAAAGTATTTCAGGTTACAGAATTAATGTTGAATAGGTATTAATACACAACTAAAAAAGGTTTTTAATAGTGGTAATTAAAGTTCTTTACTGATAGAAACTTTATTTCTAAATATTATTTTATTTCCTCAGATCAGCAGGCACATGATTATGCCTATTTCTAATTACGTCTAAATAATGGATTCACAGGTCATTTATAAATTATAAAATGCTTCAAAATTTTTCTGCTCCCTTAGGAGAAAATGAATGAGAAGGAAGATTCCAAGGGATTTAAAACAAGGCTGATGCCAAGATGTCTTAATTAGTCTACAGGGACCAAATTTAAGTTCTACTCTTTTTTTTGACTCATTTCCTAGACTTAGATGTAAATGAGTTATGAAAATTTAAAAGTATGATTGTGGCAAAAAAAAAGCAAATACTGTAGAATTACTCTATGTTTACTAACCCTTGAAATATAAAAATGGGGAAAAAAACCCAAAATATATAAGTACTTGTTATACTTTGAACAGAAATTTTCCTAAATTGACACTTTTTCTCTGCTCAACATTGCTCAGTGTTACAGTGATGTTAAACTTAACAGGATGCTGAAATGAGTATATTTACTATTATGAAGACTTTACATAGTGTTTAATAATAGGGCATATAGGCATTTAGCTCACTGGCATAAGCGCTTGCCTAGGTCTTGAGTTCGATCTTCAGTACCACCAAAAAAGAAAAAAGAAAAAAAAATAATAAAGCCTATTGTGGAGTTGTTTGGGGATGGGAATTTGTAATAGGAAAAGGAGTTTAAAAAAAGACTTATTCAGAGTACTATAAAATAAACATTTGCTTAAATCAGAAGCTTCCTTTACCCCTGAATAAAGTTAAGCATGAAAGTTATAGAAATTGTAAAGAGTTTGTAATTTATAAACAGCTTACAATTTTACTTGAGACTTAAACTTTTTAACAGCTTAAGTAAAATACTTCAGTTTTTCCAATTTTAAAATATATTCAAAAAAAACACATATTCAAAACTTTCTCTTTTTTGATTTTTTTTTTTTAAACAGGCTATCACTATGCAATTAAGGCTCTCCTTGTACTCACTATAGTTCACACTGACCTCAAACTCTCTGTGATCCTCCTTGTTCAGCCTCCCCAGGTGTTGGGATTACAGGTGTATGCCATCTGGCTAAAACTAGACTTTTCAGTTCTTTCTTTTTATCATGGTGGAGTGTAGCTTATACTAAGAATTTAATAAATATCTTGCATGATTGAACAGGAAATGAAATTATCTTTGACTGAACATCAGTTCTAAATAATGGTGTAAGGACATCATAGTAGAACAGAGATACATTTATCTAAAATTTGGTTTAGAACTGGTAATTGCAGGCCAACAGACCCGGGAAATAAGCAGAAAAGACTGAGCAACCAAAATAGATTGGGAGATCCTCTGAAGGCATGTGAAACTGAGACAAAATTTTCTAAGTAGCAAGAAATTTGAAGTGGAATGAGAGGCAGCTACCAGCTATTCACAGGGTAGAAATTGATAGCTGACACACCAAACCTGGGAATGGGAAGAAAAACCCTTCCAACTCGGCAACCTGGGGACTTTTAGGCACTTGGGTATTGGACAACACAATTATTAGTTATAGTGATGTTAATAGGTTCTGGTTTTACAAGTTGGAAGATTTGTACTTTTTGTTATTTTTATTTTTTAAGATTTCCGTGCCAGTTTAAATGTTGGTTAAGTGGACAAGCTTGAATTATCTGCAAAATTCTTTTATTGGAGCTGTAGCTTTTTTTTTTTTTTTTTTTTTTTTTTTTTCTTTTTCCTTTTTATTGGTACCAGGGATTGAACTCACAACTGCCTGCTTGCAAGGCAGGCGCTTATGCCGTTGAGCTAAATCCCCAGCCCGGGGAGCTGTAGCTTTTTTAAGGACGGCAAGTACAAGAACATTAACTTTTTATTTTAAACCAGGTTGTATACTACCTTTTCAAATAGTTGATGTTTCTTTTAATTATTTGAATATGAATAAAACCCGTTCCCTGCTGTATTTGGATATCTAGCTGACTTTAAACATTTATCTTTCAGTAGAAAGTTCTTACTCACCACAGATGCTTTCCTTAGATAGGGGCTCAGAAATGTGGAAGTTGGGTTAGTGTGTTGATACTAATGCCAAAGCACTGCTGGGGTCGAATGGGGTGAGGGATCAGTCAAGATTTTATATCTGCTGGAAACATCCAGTTTTAGAATTTTGTGGTTTAATTTTTAAAATATATCATAAAAATGTCATTGGACAAATTATTGGGATCTAACACATAGCGTGCTTTTAATACCATAATAAGCCAAATTTAGCATCTTGCCTTTTTTTTTCCAGTAATAAGAACTGAACCCAAGGCCTTCACATTGAACCACAGCCCCATCTTTTTTTATAGGCATGTGCTACCACACCTGTTTTCTCCTTTTTCTTGAGATACTATATTCTTAGGCATGATTCAGCACACCCCTAATCCCATCCCTCTGGGAGGCCAAGGCAAGAGCATTATAAGTTTAAACCCAGCCTAGTAAAATTGTCTCAAAAACAAGACGAGCTGGGGATGTCTCTGTGTGAAGGCCCAGGGTTTAAGCCCTAGTGCTGAAAAAAAAAAAGAAAAAGAAAGAAAAGAAAAGAAAAAAGAGGCACAAAAAAACTATTTTACTAATATTTACTCACAAAATACCTATGAGGCTGCTTGTAGTTAGTATTAAAAAGTAAAAAATTCATAGTTAAAAAAATTCCTTGTGACCCTGTCTCAGCCACATTTTCTTTTGTCTTCTTACCTTACTGAACATTAACAATTTCCAGTTATAATCTCTGTCCATTCTTTCTTTTTTTAACAGTGTTCATAGTATATCACACGTTTTCAAGGCCCTGTCTGTGCCAGAATAGTTTAGAGCCTCTTGGATCAAAGCTAGTTCCTCCTTCTAGATATCTGCAGGGTTGTGGTGGGAGAAAAGCGAAGGTTATATGTGGTGTGGTTATTGCGTTAGATTTATCAGGGTGTGCTGAGACCCCAAGGAAGGAACACCTAAATGGCTGGGATAAATCAGGGTAGCTTCATTTAGCTGTAGAGGCTTAGGCAAAGTATTACGTGTTAAACAGGTGTTTCTAGATAAATTGGTGAGTGTCGGGGGAAGAGGTCAGAGGGGTTCCATTTATTCAGATACACAACATGTAGACCAGCACTGTCCTGTAGAACTATTTGTAATGTTGAACATGTTGTCTTCACCATCCAGGATGATAGTAGTTAGCCATATGTAGGTATTGGTCACTTGAAATGTAGATTATATAACTGAGAGAATGAATTTTTAGTTGTTTTAATTAAGTAACTGCACATCACCAGTGGCTACTGCAATAGCAGAGCAGATGTATAGATCATTACTCTATAGGTCAGAAGGACAACAGTTTGATCTGGCATCAACATGTTCTCCAAATGTCAACCATTTATTTTCAAGTTTTTCTTGTACACAAAACTTCATTTAATAAATTCCATAATGCATTTTTGATAAAGTTTATAGAATCACTAGGTTCAGTCAAACGGTAAGAACATTTTTAGGCTTAATCAAAACACTATGCTTTGACTATGCTAGGGTAAATGATCATAACCCTTTAATATCCAATCATAGACATTTTGCTACTGTATTGGATGCACTGTGGTACCTGAGTTATGTAAATTATAGTGAACAAGAGGTTTATACTTTTTGCATTTCTTCTGTGAAATTTTATTTTCATTACTCATTCATATATATCCAACAAAAGTTTGTAAATATACTTTATTCCAAG